CAATAACCAGATGCTGCTGGCTATAATGGAATTTGTTGATCCATAGCAGAGACTTTGGATTAATTTTCGGTGTAAAAAATGCATCAGAAACAGCTGACTGAAACTTGTAGAAAACTGAAGTGAAGAATTTCTTATCTGATTAAAGACCGAGGGACAGAAGCAATCTTCACTAGAGTGTGAACGCTGTATTCACAGTTACTGATTTTTTGCTAGTAATCTTAGATTTCATATGTTTTGACATTTCTTGCCTCCCTCCCTGACCGACCACACTCATTTGTAGTTGTGTGTATGCACTCACGTATGTGGGCCACAGAATGTGTGTGAAGAAGATATAGATTTGTGCATATGAATTGCAAATTAACCAGAGCTACAGAGTAGACAGATCGGTAAGTTTATTGGGCTTTTATAGTGACCTACTAGAGTCCTTGATGAAGGCTATGGAGCTAAACATGGAGCTAGAGACATATCTCAGGCAGAATCCTTATTTAAACATGCAGAACTACAAGTCCAAATATCCCTTGATATTTGAAAACACTATTGATGTCTATTATCATAGTGCCCCCAATGGTTACAAGGACTTGGGAATTTACCAGTTATGTACAAGCGCCCTGGCTATTGCACAATTCACACTGCAAACTACCCTGTTAGGTGTGGGATTTAGACATGATGCCAGTAGATGGAGGCATTATGTAGGACCAGGGGTTGGGAGGTAAATTATGTGTGATCAGGCACCAGAGAAAGGAGGAGAAAGAGTCTGGGATTTCTGTTGCATACTAATTTGGTGATATGGTTTGGATATTTGTCCCCTCCAAATCTCCTGTTGAAATTTCATTCTCAATGTTGGAGGTGGGGCTTGGTGGGAAGTGTTTGGGTTATGGGGGTGGATCTCTCATAAATGGCTTGCTCCTCTATAGTGATGAGTGAGTTTTCACTCTTAGTTCACCCAAGAACTGGTTGTTAGAAAGAGTCTGGCATCTTCTGTCCTCCTTGCTCCCTCCCTCGCCTTTTGACATGCCAGCTCCCGTTGCCTTCTGCTACGAGCAAAAGCTTCCTGAGGTCCCACCAGAAGCAGATGCTGGCTCCATTCTTCTTGTAAGTCTACAGAACAGTGAGCTTTAAATAAGCTTCTTTTCTTTGTAAATTACTCAGCCTCTGGTATTCCTTTGTAGTAAAGCAAACAATCTAGTACACTTGGTTAAAGAAAGAGGGAAGCAGTGATTTTCATTTTGGTGCAGCACTTTGGCCAGGCAGTGTTAGCATTAGGACATCAGCTGGTTATGTCAAGATGTCTAACTGGGTTGCTTTTGCTGTTTTCTAGACTTTCCAGTCCTTTTTTCTTTCCTTTTGAATGAGGAACTGGAACTGAATCTTTAATTCCGTTTTTTTTTTTTTTTTTTTCCCAGTCTTGTTGCTTAACCATTTAATACTCAGCAGGTCATCTGGTACATGTACTATTCTCAGCTTTATGGATACCATGATGGATACATCAGCATCCTCAAGGAGTCTGAAGTTGAAGTTGGAGATATAAATAGATCATTACTTCTTGTTTGTTACCACAAGACTGGCTGGAGGCCTTCATTTTAAAGAAACAAGCTAACATTTGCTGAATTTTGACTGTGTCCAAGCACTATGCTAGGGGCCTTAACATTCATTATATACCACCTAATCCTTGAAAAAATTCAGTGGTGTGGAAGAGTCCCACAGCATATCTACCAGTAGCCACCAGCTCTGAATAGATTTTTAGGCAACTTAAGACCGAATTCACTGCATTCTAAATGGATCTTGGTCAAAATACTTAACTTTGCTGAAAATCAGTCTCCCCAAAAGATTAAATTGGTTGTAATTAATAATATCCACTTCAAGGGTGAGAATCAAATGATATAAAGTAATTTAAAATACTAAAATACTGAGCATACTATCATGATGCAATGAATGTTTCGTCTTCTACATTCTTTCCATTTGACATGAAAATTAAAGGAATTGTCGTTCTTTCACACATGGCTTCTCAGGGATAGAGCTCCTATAACGTATATATCATTGGCAACACTGGAAAGAATCCAGTGGAAATAAAAGGTGATGATCAATGGCCAGGTCTTGACTTCAACCCTATCAGTGCTAGCTCCAGGGACATACAACTCCTGCTATATTGGGCATGAAATGATTTAACTGTTATGTTCTGGGCCGCTGGTAGCAGAGGGATGTTTAATGGTCTTACATGGGTAGTGTCACGGCTCTGTGGGAACAGAGAGTTCCTCTTCAGCTACTTTCTCAAAAAAATTTAATTTTCCTCATCCCTTCCATTTTTGACTGCAGAAGAATGCTGCAGATATGTCAAAGCATTCTAGACTTAATGGGAAAATAATCTCCCAGAATGTTCAGAGGAGGTTTCTGATTGGCTCAGAACCAACCCCTTAGACCTTCAGGGAGGAAGAATCACTATCAGGCCACACAAAATACTAGAATTTATTGCCTATCAGTATGGGTAGTAAAATTTATTTTGAAAAGAATATATAAACACTTTTAGAAAATAGTACATATCTGTGGTTTAAAAATTGTGCTATAGATTTAGCTTGCTTAAGACTATTGCTGCCCTTGCCAAATGCACTTTTATTTGTTACTTTAGATCTTTACGATGACCTTGGTAGCTGTAAATAATATGCTTACTTTTGTATTGTTTCAACACCTGTAAATGGCATCCTTTAATGCTCCATGTTGTAAGCGGGAATATTATCTCTCTCATCCTTCTTTGTAACTCTTTTCTAGCTCCTCTTTCTCATGGTTCTGTCATCAGTACCTTTGCTTTTCATTGTTAAGGTCAGCCTTGAATGTAAAAAGGGAGAGTGTGAGGCCATCTGGCAAAGAAGTCAGGAACAAAGGTTTAAAGAAAAGTGAGGTTAAACAGTGTAATTCCTCTGGTGTTGACTTCTCTGATTATCTACCTCAGGATTCTGAAATTTGGTTGTGCAAGAGGATTACCTGGAGTGTTTCTTTAATAGGTAGTTTCCTGCATCCAAGAGAAATTCTCGTTCTGTCTGTTTGAGGTGGGCATAGAGTGCTTAATATTCATTAAGCACTGCAGACGGTGGTGATGCACATGGCCCTCACAGCATGTTGCATGGAATATTTAATCTCTTTTGCCTATGTGTTGGAGAAGAACACTCCTTTTGGCCCCAAATGGCAGAAGATGCCATTTCAAATGTGAGCTGTGTGCCTCCTAAGTCTAGTGAAATGGCCAGCTTATCCTGAGAGCTCTAGAGTTGGTGGAAAGAATTAGAATCCAATAGTTGGTATCTAGAAGATAAATTTGTAGTATTGGATACATTTACCCATCATGCACAAGTTTATATCTTGGATTAGTAGGATGCACCAAGTCATCAGGCACCCTGAAGGAGATCTTCCAGTGAAAACCAACTGCTTTTGGAAGGGTTTCAGTTAGTCTTTGTAGAGGTAACTGGAGCTACTTCCCAGGAAGACCCCTATCCTGATAGATTTACTGAACTCTGCAAAATACATCGAGGATATTTCCCCTTGATCAGAAGAGATAATGGAGCTAGCACATGGCATTCCAATTATATACTTCAAATATGTCAGAGGAGATGCCACTGGAACTGTCCCTTACTATTGATGCCATGGCTGACAGCTTAGATGCCCATCGAGCTTTATTTTTGGATAGTTAAGGGACACATTATAGAGAACCTCACTTGAAAAAAATTATTTCAGCTTTGGGGGCACATGTGAAGGTTTGTTACATGGTTAAACTTATGTCACGGGGGATTGTTGTAAAGATTATTACATCACCTAGATATTAAGCTCAGTACCTAAATACAGTCTTTTCTGTTCCTCTCCCTCTTCCCACCCTCACCCCTCAAGTAGACCTCAGTGTCTGTTTTCTCCTTCTTTGTGTAACCTCACTTCTTTTCCAGTTAGCCTCAGGGACAAGCTACGGGATCTAACAGATTTATTCCTGCAGCGCCACCTACATAAGAACGTACCTGTGAGGGTTGGGTCAGGAAAACAGCCACTGTGTATGAGTGCTCTCTGAAAGAAGGCGTCTTACCTGATTGTGAAGATGTTGGGTAAGTGAAGGCCCAGTAGAGGGCGCTGGAGGATCAGAGAAAGAGCACCAACCAGCCTTGCTGAAGCACTGAGATGGGGGACAAATCAGCTTTCAGGGAAATCAGAGAAGCTAGGTATACATCTGAGGACTAAAGGCAGGAGGCCTTGGCTCTGATCCTTCTAAGGCAGATGAATTGGGTGCCAGTGGTGGGGGCGAGCATGCATTGGAGTGTTCCTTGTGGGCCAGAGGTGAGCCCCAAACGAGAGAGCTGTGCTGGGGCCATTCAAATTCTGTCGAAGAGGTCCCTGCAGTACAGCTGGAAGGACCGCACATGAGCAGCCTATCTGAGAAAAATCTGTTGCTGCTGTCTAGATAAGTCTCCTTGGTTGTTCTCTGGCGAGACTGAAGCACCCACACAAGCCATCCAAGGAAAGGAGTCGGTTTTGGTCATCCCTCCCAGCGAGAGGTGGCCGGAGACATCTGCAAATACCAGGAAAACCAGCTCCAGATGGTACTGGTGCCGACCTTGAATTTTCTTCCTTAATCTTCTCCACGCCTGGAGGGACCCATGTCAGAGCTAGAAAATCAGCGGGGAGAAGAGGCAGTGAGATGGGGAAACAGAAAAAGAAGCTAAAATATACCCCATTACAACCTTCTGAGCTTGTCTAACCTAGTAGAGGCGAGGTGAATTTTACATTAGGTAAAATTTTGAAAAACATTGTACTAAGTTGTATGTATTTATTACTATTCTTACGATTGAAGGTAAATAGAGGTTTTTGAGTATTGAATAGTGATTGAAGAAGTTATGGACTTTATCAGAGAATTCATGCAGTGGCAGGGAAAGAGCTGGCGCACAGAGAGAGTTTAAAGAGCAGTGGGATAAAGAATAAAGTTAGTTTCTGATTAAGTCATATGGTCATGAATGTTCAGCTTAGCAGTTACTTGCCTTGGTAAAAATGTCAGGCAACCCATAATAGCTTCATCCAGCTTATTTTGACTCCCGTTTATTTACTTACTTGAAAGACAGAAGAAAAGAGTTTCTGAATATTTGGAAGATTTTGCTGAAGTAAGTAAATGCTGCTGAATGCAGTTGAGGAGCATCAGATAAGACAAAACTGAGCCTTGTTACAAAAGAAAATCTTGTTCAGTGGCACTGCAGCTGCTGCCACGTCTTCACTGACTCATCCCTAGTTTTTAGAAGGTGCTGTTAACCTCCTTTGATGGTCTTTGATTGGTCAGTAGCTAAGCCTATAATATGAGCCTTTAGCCGCTTGGAAATTTCAGTCTTATTTTGCTGTCTTCATCCTTTTACAACCTGTGAAATCCATGCAATTGAGTTGAGATGTTTGATTTCTACTCAAGGATGCAGAAGATGAAATGAAAAGGTAACGTCATAAATCTAAATTATCTAAATTCCAATCTCTTTTTGCCTGAATTTGTAAACTCCTGTATGCTTAAGAACCCCTTAATATAGAATTGGAAATGATATGGCTTATTCATAACAGGAGAAAAATCTTAGACATAAAATTAGAAATAAAAATAAACTGGAATATGACTTTAAAGTAATCCTGATCTCTATCCTACCCTTGGAAAAAACCCTAATTCTTTTTTTCTAAACTTAACCCTAACCATAATCCTCTAAATAATATAGGACAAATTTGGTTATTAATTTTGTGACTATAAACATTTTTATTAAGCTTCATGTTTTTGAATATAAAGAAATTGTGAAAATGAAGCATTTTGTTGAACCAAAATTGCATTGCTAGTTCTTGCAAGCATGGGTTTTCTATTCTTGTACTAAGTAAAATTTCTTAAAGTGTAAATCAATAGTACCTAAAGAAAATTCTGGCTTTCCTGCTGGTTCACCCTTGCTTAGTGTCCTATGCAGGGATGGGGTGGGTACCCTCAGGGCGAAAGTACTGGTTAAGCTTCCTATGGTATCTACAGCATGCAGGTCTGCCCTTGAGCCCAGTGGAGAAATTTACTATGGTGTCATCTGAGAGTGTGAACCCAAATTGCCCTATTTCAGACCTTTTAAAATGCCCCTTTGAAAGAAGCATCTATTAGAAAAAGCCACCTTAGGACAGTAATTGACATCTCATCCTCAGTATGCTTTCAGTGGTGTCCTTGAGTCAGATTCGATGGCTGAAAAGCAATGTTCCTGGTTATTAGCTTTGCCCTTTGTAGCTCCCCTCCCTGAGCTTCAGCATAATGGGATGTTCTCAGTTTTTATGGAGGTGGCAACAAGAAAGAGGCAGAAATTTGCTCCTTCATTTACTCTGATGCCGTCTATTACATTATTTAATGTACTTTGTATAAATCCTCACATGAGTCATTCCTTTAGAATTTGGTTACAGGTAAAAAACTTGTCTTTCCTGAGGAATTCGTTGCTAAGCTTCTTTCTTTCAGGTTATAAGAACTCAGTAATATTTACACACTTACATTTTATTTCTATGGTTCTGAAATAATATTGCAATTTATAAACCTTTTTTTTTTGAGACAGAGTCTCGCTCTGTAGCCTAGGCTGGAGTGCAGTGGCCTGATCTCGACCTCGGCTCACTGCAAGCTCCACCTCCGGGGTTCACGCCATTCTCCTGCCTCAGCCTCCTCAGTAGCTGGGACTACAGGAGCCCGCCACCGTGCCTGGCTAATTTTTTTTTGTATTTTTAGTAGAAACGGGGTTTCACCATGGTCTTAATCTCCTGACCTCGTGATCTGCCCGCCTCAGCCTCCCAAAGTGCTGGGATTACAAGCGTGAGCCACCGCGCCCGGCCTTATAAACCTTTTTAAACCATAGTTTATATGTTGTTTCACATTATTTTTGGGAAGGAGTAAAATCAATTAAACAAACCAATAATATTCTGTGATTGTCCTAGTTTAGTAGTCTTAAAATATTACTATTAGAAAAATTACCTTTAAAAGATGTTCTAACTGCCAAGTTATTTTAAAAGTATAAGATAAAAATATCCTTATTTTAACATGGGAAATAACATTATCTATTTTATGGCACTATTGCGGTGACACCTCCTCACCTAGAAAGAATGGTTGAATATTCTTCAATTTATTTATCCTTCATGTAGTACATAACAATATGTCTCACTCAAAGGGTATGCTTATTTTCTCTATTTATTGCAATTTTGTTGTCATCATATATAATTATATCAAAAGTCAAACTTTCATTATATAATAAGTACACATATTCACAGTAAAAATAAAGTGATGGATTTACTGATTTTTAAAAACATATCCCCAATTCATTCATTTTTTAGATTCTTTTTGCCCATTTCAAAGAAGCAATTAACAGTATCTAGTCTTTGTTGTTTTTCTGATATAATATTTTCTTCTTTTCATAATCAGCTGCACTTTTGTAACCTTTTTGAAAGCAATAATGACTTTGGTCTGTCAGTTCTTTTACTGCTGTAATACTCAACTTTTCTCTTAAAAAATTTCAAAGAGCATAGAAGTCAGTTCTCTAAATGAGTGAAACACATTTAAACACCTTAGATACCATAGTATCTAAGGCAACTAGTTTTTGGATATGATAATTTGAGTAACAATATGTTTGTGAAATATTAGAATGAAAACTCCCTTAGTTAAATTTGTCTTTTATAAAAATAATAATTGTTATTTTTCAAATCTGTTGACAAAATACATACTTTCAGGGAAAATTTGTTGAAAGGTTAATTTCATTATTAAAAATCTTGGAACCATTTGGGTTTAATATCTGCTTCATGGAAGTACCTGAACTGATATTTTAGTGAATTTTCAACTCATACTTCTGTAAGTTAAACTTGCTTCAGTCTTCTGCTTTCTCATGAATTTTTTGGAGTTTGTAGAAGCTTAATGGCTTTATGTATCAACGAGTCAAAACAAGTTATATTGATTATTATACCTGCTGTGTGTAGGACCCAACCACCAGGCTCATGCAATATCCAGGCTATCACCACATACAATTATTGGTCATAGCAATCATGAAAACATTGAGAAAACAATGAATAGTTAAACTTCCTTCCTGCCCGTCTTTCAATCTTTCTTCCCTCCTTTCCTGCAAAACGAAAGCCTCTGAATGAGTTTGTTATTTTTGGTACCTTACATATATACAGAGTAAATGGGAATCTTTCAGTCTCCATGTCCAGCTAGGTTAGTTTACTTTTTCTATTTCTAGCTCTTCTAGGATAATGTGTGTCGATGTTCATACAATTAACACCGAAGGAAGCAATTTATTTCTGTGAATTATTATTTAGTGCTACTATCTTTTCTTTTTTTTCTTTCTTTCTTTTTTTTTTTTTTTTGACGAGTCTCACTTTGTCTCCCAGGCTGGAGTGCGGTGGCGCGATCTCGGCTCATTGCAAGCTCCGCCTCCCGGGTTCACGCCATTCTCCTGCCTCAGCCTACCGAGTAGCTGGGACTACAGGTGCCCTCCACCACGCCCGACTAATTTTTTGTATTTTTAGTAGAGACGGGGTTTCACCGTGTTTGCCAGGACGGTTTCGATCTCCTGACCTCATGATCTGCCCGCCTCGGCCTCCCAAAGTGCTGGGATTACAGGCGTGAGCCACCGCGCCCGGCCAGCTCTACTATCTTTTCTTATCCCTCTACCATGGCCAATTCAAAATTAATTTCTAGATTCATAAAATAATTAGTAATCCAGAAAGGAGCTGTTTTTTTCTATTTAAGCACCAACTCTAGCAAACTAGAATAAGGTGTCCTGCAATTTAGATACAGTTTGGAAATATTTGCAGTGCTGAGACTTGGTTACAAAGTTGGTAGCAGGGATGGTTAAAGATTGACCGTCTTGAGTTCTGCTTTGGGCAAATCTTAGGAAAGGACCAAAGTACTTAAATTCAGAGTACAAATTTATTCACTAAACTAATATTTATTTTGCTCTACTAAGTGCTAGGCATGTTTTTTTTCAAAGTTGGCTACCGAAGATACGTAAGTGAATAAATTATTATCCCATGGATGTAACAACGACAACAAAAATCTAGATTTGTTATTGTTATTGAAGCCATCAGCTACAATATATATTTGATTATTTTAACACACAGATATTAAACTGCCGAACAACCCTTTATCTAATGGCTTGGATGAACCCTAATTTTTAATAAGAAATAAAACAGATATTTAATTTAATTTTTGACTTTCAATTAGGTGGATAGAAAAATAAATTTGTATAATTGTTTTTTACTTATTTAGGTTCTATGATAAATGGCTATTTTTTACATAGTTGATATATATCTTTATATATAATGTATAATTTAAAAAGAAGTTTCATTATATTCATTTTATTCTACTCTATAGAGCTAAAACTAAGCAAAGGGGATCTACTTAAAAATGTTATGTTAAGTATAGTGAACTCCAAGTTTCTCTTCAAAGAATCAGTATGTCAGTATGTTCAGCACTCTTATTCCCTGTTCTCCATTTTAAAGTTTAAGTTCCTGGTTCTCTTCACCTTCTTGCCTCTAGTTTCAGTAAACAACCCCCTCCTAGCCTCTATCACCTGCTCTGTCCTGAGTCATCCCTGGTCACTTGCTCTGACCTGAGTCATCCTGAGTCACCTGTTTTGTAACTGTCGTTCCTGCCAAACTACTCACCCCGCCACTCTGACTTGTACCCCTGCTCTCTTTAAAATAGCCAATTGGAATTAGCTTAGACTGTGTGGTCCAACCCTAGCCAATAGGGGAATGACACAGCAGTAGGAGCTAACTGCATCAGGAATAAGAACCCCTTCCCCTCCCTTGTTCAGGCGTGCTCTTGCCATTTCTCCATTCATGAGTCGTACCCTTCTATAGAAGTAAAGATTGCTTTGCTGAGAAAATTAAATTTATGTTTTAGTGCTATTTCTTTGTGGCACTGAAAACTTTTCAGTATTTTTTAGAGGTTGTGAAAATTGAGGAGGAGGAGTCTTAGAGCATTCCAATATTTGTAAAACAAACAAAAACAACCAAACCCACCTCCCCATCTCACACACCCCTAACCTGTGAAATTACATTTGTAAGCAAGGTACTTCATAGGAGATGGCTCCGTTTCCTAGAGAGAAAGTTTCCTATCCATCTAGGGCAGTTTTATTGTCCTTGTTTTATGTTTCCATAAATCACACCACTCCTTGTTCCTTCTTTGTCACAATTTTCCCCAAAATGGTAAAAGTTAAGAAAGATGAAACTTCTTAGGCTGCTTGCCATGCTTTTGCATGATTAATTCACACGTGAAGAAAACAAAATACCTTTAGTTTTTAATTAAAGAATTTACAAAAGGAGAAAAGTGTTTGTTGAGTGATAAATAATAATGATTGATTAAAGAAATGTGTAACCAGCTCTAAGAGCTATTGAAATATTCTGACAAAAGAGAAAATGGGAAGAATCTGTTTGAAAGTCAGAATTCCATT